CCTAAATTTGGAAGTGGGGATGCAGAGGGGGACAGCAAGTGGACAGAACTGTTAATAAATGTAGTTTCTGGGCATCCCACTGTGTAGACTTTTCCCATTTCCCGCTGGCATTAGGCAGCCTTTGAACACACACCAAGCTGAGAAAAGCAACCTAACATATATGTTAAATGCAATGCCTCCTTCTAGGAGACTCCCACCCACTGTAAAATAAAAAGAAAAGAAAAGAAAAGAAAAGAAGAAAGGAAAAAAGAAGTCTCTTAACATCTGTGCGCTAGTCCTCAGGCCAACAACGGGGGGATCTGTGTTTAGCGGAGCCATTTATGGCCTCTCCAGGATGGTGAGGACACATTTTAGAAGACTCAGCATCTCTGCCTGGTGTACAGGGACTCAGAGAGCCACCTTTGGGTCCCTCTCCAAAATCCTCCCAGGAAATCCCACTTAAATAATGAGAGCAAAGCACTTAAAAAAACCCCAAACCAACCCCCACCCGCCTTGCAAAAAAACAAAAACAAAAACAAAAAAAAAACAACCCTGCACACATACACTGAATAATAAAAACAGAGAAGGTGACCTGCCCTGCCCAAGTGATTATATTTAAACTCCCAAGGGAAGGAGAGAAATAGAACAGGCAGTTCCTGGTTAAGACCTGGATGCATTAATGCAATGCAAATACACTAGTATTATAAAACCTGCACCAAAAAAAGACCTAACGCACCCTCTCAACAGCTTCCCCAGCTGCACAGAGCCTTTGCATTTGTGGGTACATGTGAGTGTGAACACCAGAAGAGCCTTATTCAGGTAAAATCTTCACTCAGAACTGCCCCAACACAGACCGCCTTGCAAACAGATGGGCGTGTTGCTATGACGAGACTGCAATGCAGCAGAGACCCCCCCAGAGATCCCCCAACTCTGTAGGGAGCTGTGAAGTGGAAGAGCTTTCTATAATCAAACCATGTCCCCTGTGTCCATTGTCCCCATTAAATGAATACAGACCAAGAAAGGGAGGAGCTGTGGATCATAAGTAAAGAGGATGCTGGAAAGCACTTGGAAAAAAAAAAAGAATTTAAGTAGTCAAAGCCTGACAATTCAACCCAGAGGGGCAGAAGAAACTGGCTGGAGAAATCTTGGAGCTGATGGCAATAAGATTTGCACGGTCAAGGATGACGGGCAAAGCCCCAGAGGACGAGGGGCTGACATAGTGCCCATCTTTGAAATGAGGGACCTGAGGAATTAGACTGACTGGTCAGCCTGACTTCGAGACCTGGAAGCAAATTTTAAAACGGACAATTTGTAAACACCTGAAGGATGAGGAGATGACGGCAGGAAGCACATCTGGATTTCTGAAGAATAAACCATGCCCAACCAAGTTGATTTCCTTCTTTAAAATGGAAAGTAGTTTGATGGATGACGGGAATGAGGTGGGCACAATACATCTGGACTGAAGGAAAACTTGCTATAGTTCTACATGAGTGTCACACGTGAGATAGAGAAATACAGGTTAGACAGGATGACTGTTAGGGGGATACAGAATGGACTGAATACCCAGGAATAACTATAAATAGATGCATTTCAGATCGGCAGGAGGTTTGAAGTGGGACTCCACAAGGGTCTGATTTGGGTTCGGTGCTGCTTAATATTTATGACTCACCTGGATGTGGGAATGGAGAGCTTGCTGAGCAAGTTCACAAATTGCACAAAGCTGATGTAGAGTCCCACTACATACATACGTATCCCCAAAACGGCCTCTGGCCTAGGGAACTTGCAACATAAAATTCGGACAATGCGTAACATGGAAATAAAGCCGCATGGCATGGGAAAGGAGACAAGAGAACAGGAGAAAGAAGGAGACAGATGCACAAGGGTCCAGGTTTTCTACTTCTCCCAAGTAGAAACATGATTTTTATGCTCTGCGGTACTGGATTATATATAACTAGCTCCATGCTACTTACAAATGACTCCCCACACACGCCCCCACATACAACATAAAGAATAAAATTAATGTCATTCCATAATTCAAACAGTTTCACAAAATAGCACCTTCTATTTATTACTTATAGAATCCTCTAATAATAAATCTTACAGAAGATTCCTAGATTACCTAAATTAAATTCTATAAATTAACACTGAAGTTAACACGCTCACGAATACCATCCTCCACCAGAAGAAAAATCAACGACCATGCACAATACCTGCTTCCTCCATTTACACTGACATTCTCGTTTGCTGGTGTCTGAATAAAGTCACTTGAAAGCTAACCAAACGGAGATTAAGAAAAGTCCCCTGCAAGTACCTTTCATATTCACCTGATAACCATTTTCCTTTTACTTTTCCGACCTCCTTTATAATGCACTAACTACATGTGAAAACCAGAGCTTTTCCCTCTAAATTATAGTAATTTGGATTTTCAGGTTATCCCCAACTATTTGAGCCCTTAAACTAATGATGTCCACTGACTTTAATAGGAGTTATTCCATCTTGTTTAACAGGGTGGGAAGTGGAGCCTGAGAGAGACGGTGTTTCTGAGGGGTCTGCAGAATTGGGCGCAACATTGACCCAAGCCCAGATTCAGCGGTTCACCCTTATGAAGCCAAGTACATGGTGAATGCCCCTTGAAGTGTGCTTAATGTGCGGGATCCTGGGTCAACATAACCCACATGCAGGGATGCAGAAAAAGTGATAAACTGCTTATCATCCAGAGCAGGGATAATGCAGCTCACACCGGGCCACGAGAGCTTCCAAATGCCTCTGTCACCCAATAAACCTAATCTCTGTGGCTTCCAGATATAATAATAGGCCCCCAATAAGGCTTCACGTCATGCCCGTTGCTTTTACTTGGGTTCATCGGGGTCCCATTTCTATAGGAAGCTCCAGAGAAATAAATAAGACACAAGGATCCTCAATTTACTACTAGAAAAGGGGGAATAGTGAAGGAGACTGGAACAGGACGCGTGTGCAGTTTGCCTTTCCCCTAGGAAGTGCAACAATCTGGGCAATGATTTTCAATTGAATATCCCCAAACTCTCCCTTCTCCTCAGACATCTTCCTCGGGTAAACATTGATGTTATCCAAGCTGCCAGAGGGACCTGTCTGGCAGCCTGTCTGCTACGACCGTCATTACATTTTACATCGCTGTAATGCCGAATGCACCTACCAGGATTCGGAAACCATGATTGCGCACGCTGCCGAAACCTGCAGATGACAGCACGACCTAGCCTGTCTTGCAAACAAGACTTGCAGAAAGGGGGAAAGGCAGCTAGAAAAAAATAGCTTGTTGTGGGGTCAGGAGTCAGGTTTCTTTACCTGCCCATCACTAGAACCGGTTTTCAATCAATGAACGCTCCACTGCATTTATTTCCTGTGTGCAGTCTCAGTGTGGGGCTCCAGGCCCTTGGAAGTCATCCCAACATGCTACCTTCCCGGAGTACGCACACATCGTGACGTGGCCGACCTTGCTGTTGGCACGGAGTACTCAACATTGCCGCTGTTGCATAATCATCGCCACCACCTCAAGGCTCACGGGATGTATAGACCACGTAGGTAAGTAGCCATGCCATGAGTGCTTGCTCACACAGAGAACTTCCCTTGCTGTCCATAAGAGCCACATTTTTTGAATGAGTGAGACGGTTCACTCCACTCCACTATTCAGAATTAACATTCATACCTACAACTCCATCCACAGATAGCGAAAGAGCACCACACTCACATATTTAAGGCATCAGATGGTCTCAGTCTGGAGAATAATAATAATGCTGTTATGATAACCAAGGATGGGGTCCCATCGTGTCATAAAACTCTTTCTTTGACTGAACAAGTAGCCTCTCGGCGGCGTGGAACTGCCCAAAGGCTTGGCAAAGTATCAGCAGACACATCCCTCCAGTGTCTGAATGAAGGAGGGAATCACCATTTCCAGTGCAGGTTTATTCTCACAAAGAACTTTTTTCCAACTACTCAGTTGGTCTAATAAAAGATATCGCATCTACCCAAAGAACCTGGCCTGCCAAAGAGGAACCCGTGCACTTGTACGTATCTGAGCTAAGTGTGAAATACAGGCAACGAGGTCTATCCGTCATGAGTGCACTCTAAAATACCCCCAAATGCAACTGCAAGCAGAAGCGATTATGCAACAAAAATTGCAACGGACCTGGAAAAATAAGATAGCCTCAACTATTTGTATCCGTGGTACCTGGAGGCCCCAGCTGGCAAGCCAGGAACTGCACATGCATGTTGTAAGGGAGAGTCCCGGATGCCAAGAGCTGACCGCTTTGCCCGAGTCAGGAGTTACCAAGGGCTGTGCACCTCAGCCACTTGACAAAAAAGTGCAAGTAAAGAACCACATCGCTTCCGAGCCAGAATGGAAAATCACATCTAGCAAACAGCTCATCTGTCACTAACCGGCAGTGGATCAGCGTCTCTGCAAACTCCAACAAGATCAGACATCCCTGTTCTCACAGGCTAGAGCTGAGTACATGCAAAGTAAATTGTTGCTCCCCTATTTTCTCTTAAATGAGGCTGATGCTTTGAGAACAAAAAACATAGCTTTCACAGATTCAGAATCAGAACAATGCCCTGTGCAAAGCAGGAGGGCGAGCTCATTTTAGACCCAGACTCCCTGCTGGGTATCCCCTGCTTTCGCGCCTCCTTGATAATGTCTAAAAGCGAAATCTGTACTGAGCCAATATTTATAGAAATATGCTCCTGTGCCCTCACGTGTTTTCCCTGTGCCTAAAAGTTGAGCGTCAAACCTCAGGACAACATCAGTGTTAACAAACATGGACAGCTACGCTGCCGTTGACCTTCTAATAGAAACGAGACGGTCCTGTCCCTTTTAATGATATAATGTCTTCACACTGTAAACCCCAAATTTGGGGAAGCGCAAAACCATAACGATGGGGCAAAGCATGCAATCGACAGCAGATTCAGGCTGCTATACGTTTACTGGGAAACTGCACCGACTCTTCATCCACAGAAAACACACGGGAAGGAAATAAGTATTTACTTACACTGCACAATGAGCTGTACCAGGGCTTCTCTCGGCTTCACGTTGAATCCGTTGTACTGACTGGTCTGGCATCTGTATGTCCCTGTCATCTCCCGAGACACGTTTACTATCCTCAGTATCCCATCGTAGCTCTCCATCTGCATCGATCCATCTGGCATCGCCGTCTCCTTGTCTGCTCTGGACCAAAGAATGATCGGTTTGGGTTTTCCGGTCACTTGGCACTGCAGTTCAATAGTATCTCCTTCCCGCGTGACCAAGGGTGATTTTTCTTGTGGGACAGTCAAATTGGGTGGAACTTCCAATGGCAAGGGAAGCAATAATTTAGAAAAAGAAAAAAAAAAGAGGGGGGGGTTACCATTAGCATTTGCAGGAAATGCATATCTGTTCTGCACAAAACACCAGCAGACTCTCCCTACACCTGAAGAAGACTGTTTGCACCCAAAATCTTGCAAAGAACATTTTTTCCCACTATTTAGTTGGTGTAATGGAAGTTTACCCAATGAACCTTGTTTATTTATGCATGCACACATACATGTGTGCGCACACACACATGCACGCGGGCGCACATGCACACGCACACATACAACTGAACAGTGAACTGAGCTGAACAGTGCTGCAGCTAATATTCCCATGAGAGAAATCTCTATACCTACCTTTATTGCTTGGTAAGTTTATTGTTATTATTTTTTTAAGCAAGCTTGCCCTCACAAATTCATGTTATAACCAAATTGTCTGTAAGTGTTATCAAGTGTGTAAGTGTTGTGCATTAAAGACCATCATTACAAAGGTTTCAGAAAGCAATGGAAACTTCATAAATTGAAGAGAGAGGAAAAAAAAAAGAAGACAGGCTGCTAATACCTTAGCTGAAAACGTATTATTTTTTAATTATCACCAAATACATTTATATAACACGACAGCTGTGGTAAGAGACGATTAAATCATTGTTTCCAGCCCGTGTCATGTAAGCCTTTGATAGGAGCATGGCATGGCAACTACTGCTTTGTACAGTAATGCGGATGCCACTGATTAAGCCTGCACGCGAGAGGTATCCAATCTTTCCTAGGCAGGCAGTCTGTCTGCCCATTTGAAAGATAATATGGCAGAAAGTGTCCAGCCAGAAGAAACACGTTTTGAGACTCTCTGCAAAAAACATATCCCCACCAGTTCAATGTCTGTACTGCAAAGGGATTAGCATTCAACTCAGCGTTCTGCAGTCAGTCCCATTAGAGGTGGCACTTCTTCCTCTGTACTTTAGGTAGCTACTTGTGATAAGTACAAAGCACTGCGAGCACCGGAGGCTTGACGAGAACGTTTTTTGCCATGTTCAATTATTGCAGCGATCTCATCATGCCTAGATTAGTTTTATACCCTGGCTTTTACTTCTCTCTTAGCCACAGGCTTAATGCAGATCAAAACATCATGCCTGTTGTCGTGCCTGATTTCTAGAAGCAAAGAGCAGCATTTGGCACCCTACAATGTTTGCTTTGCTTGCAGGGAGATAACCTGTAGGTGAGAGCCTCCAGGGGAGTCAAATTTAAACATAGGCCCATGCACTGCATGGAGGGGATAAGTTATAACCACAAGATGAAGTGAAAAACCATGTGATAAATACATTTATCACACATCTCTGATCATCTCATTGCCTACTGAACGCTATTCGCCCGTTTGGGACTTCATACTCCAAGCAGCAGCTGTTTCCTTTTAAAAGCAACCCGGGCTTTCCCCCGCAAAATTACCCCGCTCAATAACCAGGACAGGCAAGATTCATTTCTGCATCATCTCTTCTGCCCAATCCTATCCCACATCCCCAGGCAGGAGGTGGGAGCTTGTACTAGATGGCAAGGGAGTGTCTTAGCTTACCCACATGAATGAGACCTCTCTGTTGGGCCCAGAAGGGCTTCAGGTACCAGACTTTCAAACAGGAACATTTTTAGGCATCAAAATCCTGTCTGAGAGTAGTTTAGAGGATCTCTTTGAACCCTGCCCAGCAGCATTTGGTTTTACAGGAGGACACAAAAAAACCTCAGAAAAGGGAAACAATATTATTAGCAATTCTAGGGCCTCGTGATCCATTTTTTTGGGAAGGACACACAGGACACCAGCTGGTGCAGCGTTGAGTGCCTTGGAGCAAACCTCATTGCACATGTCCTGTCTTTTCTCCTACCACTCTCATCCTGACACCAAACCCTCTACACAATCAGGCTGGCTTGCACTTGTACATGTGTCTACAGGTAACACCTTGCACTTGTACATGTGTCTACAGGTAACACGAGCGTGCACACAAGCATGTGAAAGCACCTCCGCATATGCAATGAACTCTCAAGAGCAGGTTGACACGAGAAAAACATTTCTTACTCCATAAGCACCGTCCCAGATATACGCTGGCTTGAGATCGGATACCGAAACCTCTCTCTTTATGCCAAATGTACCGACGCTGGGGGTGAGCCCAAAGAATAGTGAGCAAGAGGAACGGGATAATGCAACCCAAACACGAGGCAGGTTTTCCCTGCCCGAACGCTCACTGGAGAGACAGGGCGGGTGATAAAGCATCCTTCCTCCAGGGAATCGCTATGGCCCAGCTGTCTCCCGGAAAACAGGGGAAGACGAAAATGCAAACGGAGATGGTGACTCAGCAGACACAAGACAGCAGTCATCAAGGAGCTAATCTTCACCAGATGCAATCCTTATCAGCACAGAGGGCTCCTCATTTCAAGTGCCGCCCACCCCAGACGCTATTCGAGTCAGACGTAACAATCCATCATCAGAAATCAGATGCGTTCACAAAACCCTCAGACCCAACCAAATCTTTCCCCAGACAGTTCACTAAAAAACTGGGGCTGATGCTTCGGTGCTCCCCATGGACCTAATGATATCTCCTAGCTAGTTGTTTGGCTTTTTTTACAGCCATTTTTCCTAGACAGCATCTGGCTTTCCTTTCTTCCCCTCCTGCATAGACTTAACCCTCTGCTGCTAAAAGGCCTGGTGGTGTCCCAGCATCCTGCCAGAAAGGCAGAAGAAGCAAGTGTGGAGACTGGAGAAGAGCAAGGAGATAAAACCAGTGAGAGGTCTCCTTACTGAGCATTACCAAGCACCTCGAATCATAGCTTTCATGGATGTTAGGGCTGGAAGGGACCTCGGAGGATCGTTGAGTCCAGCGCCCTGCCCCAGGGACAGGAAGTCAGCTGGGGTCATAGCATCTGATGGGGTAGGCTGCAGCCTGGGGACGCTCGTGATTCTCTCAATGAGTCTGTAAGGAGCCACCCTGCCCTGCCTTGTACCTTTGAGGGTTATATTGGCTTTCCCAAATGCACATTGCATGACCTGTGCACTTGTTATTGCTGCATTACATTTCATTTCTGGAATCACAATGGCTAGGAAGAATCACCTCTCGTGCGATGCTTGTGACTTGCCATCAAGGACCACTGGAGCACCCGGGACTCTGTAGTGCTCTTTCCTTCTGCAAAAAAATGTTAGCCGTGTGGATATATTTGCCATCCTGAGGAACAGGCACTTTGTCTCTCCTCCCCCTCCCCCAGATCTGTAAGAAAATAAGATATTATTATGCAAATATCGAGAACCTAGAGTGGTTCAGAGCTAAGCCATGCACAGGGCAGAGACACAGTCCCTTACCTAAAGAGCTCCCCATCTTGGCTAACGAGACTCAACAGGTGGACATGACACATGGGTGCAGGTGGAGAGGACGCGACAGTGATATGATCACATTTCCAAGTAGCTTAATTGCTCGCATATTGTAGCTCCTAAGCATCCATCTGTGAAAACGGAGTAAAAACTTTGCTCAAGAGGGAATGGATCCTGGCTCCTTATACCAGAACATCCTCTAAACGACCCATGCTTTTTCATGTGGTTGACTACTTGCAGGGCGAGATGCCGGATCCCCTTCTTTATATCGTTGGTTGGAGCTGAGCAGAAAGCAACAATCCCATTTCCAAAGAAACACAAAATTCAGCACCCAAGGGTGGATCCAAGGGTGGGGGTACAGGGTGCTACGGCCCCCCTCCCCGCCTGTGATTCCTGCACCACCCAAAGTTTAAAACCATCTGTCTGGGAGGGGAAAAGGCATTTCTAGTCACCCAGGGCTGAGGGACTCAATTGACTTCAGGATGCATTTTCATCTCCCTGATCCCTGCTATTCTCTCCACTTCACAGGTATCAATGACCTTTTCTCCTTTTGATTGCTCTTGAGGTTTCACTTTCAAACTCTCCTTTCCCCTGCAATGTTGCTGTCTGTTAGGGCTTCCTGGTAATGCCTCTCTTCTATTTCCCAGCCCTGCAGACAGTTTTTAGCTCTAGCTAAAAACCTTAACTCAGGTGTGGTCATATTAACTCAGATGTAGAAATGACCGACAGTGAAAAATTGCAGACACCGTCAAGACAATCAAGAAGGCTAGAGTTTGTTTTGTGAATATGACTAAGAGATGTGCATTTAATACGATGATTACACGGCTAATGATACAATATCCTTTGACTTTATTTTGCCTAGTCTGTATGTTTTTTTTTTTTAATTGCATATATAACTCCATCAGATTAGCTCACAGTCCAATTGCTATATTTGTTTTCTGCTTTGATCTTAAACTAAATATATAGCAGCAGCCCCCTAGCATATAAGTACAGCTTCTAGTTTCAATGTTACTGGAGAAAAAGATGCTGTTTTATGTGATGATGTGCTCCCCCCTCCCCCCCCACCTTTAAAAATCCTAGATCCACCCATGTCTGTTTCCACTGATGGGAAGAAGGGAACCAAGACTGTTCATATTTAGTTTTTTTCATGACAAATGAAATAGTGAAAGACCACAGCATTATTATTTTTTTTAATTTTGTGTCTCAGACCAAATTAGTCAAATCAGTCCCAAATTCCATCCTTTGAGCAGAGCTCAGTCATTCAGGCCCATGTGGTGTTACCAACAGCAACCATATTACCTCCCAGACTCATCAGCCTGGGGCTCCAATGCTCCTAAATCCACAGCAGGCATCCTACGTGCAAGCCCCAAGGCTGGAAGTCTTAGGGTTCAGATGCTCCAAGAGTCTCGCTTGCTCTTTGCCAAAAGGCCAAAGCAGCAAGCTAGGGAGAAATCCCCCATCTCCATAAAATAAAGTATGTAGCTTAGATCCTCCCATTGGAAAGCTATAGTAGACTCTCGTAGGGCTGCCTGCCCCCAGTGCAGTGGGCAAGTGTCCAACCCTGGCTACACAAAGACATTCAAGGTGTGGGAGAAGGGACTCTCCTTTTCCAGGTACAGCAAAACCACCTGGGCTGATACTACCTCCACCGTGGTGGTGATCCTGGTATCGCCCCTGCCAGATGAAAGACCACAGCACTGAGCTCAGCGCTGAGACTCTTGACCAAGGGTGTGGGACTCAGAGACGGGCCCCTCTACCCTGCCTGAACTTCAACTGGAGTCTTACCCATATCCTAACCACTATACTGGTTTTTCCCGTTCTCTGGAGTGGGTCCTTGCTCCCAGCAGCAATTGTAGCCCAGCCCTGAGAATCTTTCCCAGTGAACATTTCATGAAAACCAGCCTGTTTCTGCAAAAAAACCCTTCTTTTGATAGGGGGAAAGTTGTCTCTGACAACTCAACTTCCCTTGACTCAAGCAGTTCTGATCGCTGTACTACTTTTACCCTGAGAAACTATCCCATGGGTAATTTCTAACACTAGTGGCTATGGTTTCATAACAAGGAAGGAAGGAAGGACTTTGACTTTTTTAGACTTTTTAGCTACTTTATTCAGGGGCTCGGGGTACAAAAAGTCGGCCCCTCCAGGGTTCAGGTCCAATAGGCAAAGCAAAGGCAGACATATCACCATCAAACCAAAAGCACTGTGCCATTACATCATAGCATCACACCGTGACAGACACCTTTGCAGTATTACACAACATGCCGCTATGCAGTCGGGACACCTGGCCACGCATCGTATCAACCAAAGCCCTCTATGAACAACCGATTCCTACCCTGCTCCATTGGTGACATGTAGGGGGTGCACATGGGTGCACGTGCACCCCCTGAGCATGGCGGTGCACCCCTCATGAAGAGGTGCTGCCAAGACTGCCAGCGGTCGCCGCTAGCCCCCCGCCCCACCCCGCTCCGGGGTCATGTGGCGTTCATGCCCTGCCCTATCCAGTAGTACACATAACAATGCCTTCAACTATCCACACAAAGGGAAAAAGCAGCCTGGTGAGGGCCAGGAAGGAAGGAAGGAAGGGGAAGCTTTCATAAAAAGATGGGGGGAAATTGAGTTGAAGTAATGCCCGTTTCTGCGGCGTTTTGCTGGCCCTTTCAACCTCCTGCACAGCGAGATCCAGGGTGAGCAGGGGACAGATGAGCCGCGCGAGCAATGCAGCTCAATGTGCGATCGCACGCACGTTGTAGAAACAAAAGACTGTTGCTTACTGTCAGAGGAGGCATGGATGTGTGAAATTGCACACCGTGTTGCAATGACCCTGCAAATGACTTGGCTCACCTCTGAGACTTGCGCGGAGGCCCAGCATCACAGGCTGCTGCTCGGAAAGTTTGGTGCCCCGTAGAAGAGTCCGCGTGGAGTTCTTGCCACGTGAGGCAGAGCACAGACATGTGCACGCGACGATGGGCCACGCCAGCTGAAGGGCACGGCGAGAAGGAGAGAAGATGATAGGGCCCCAAGTAGCACGCGGTTCCCAAGTGGCTGAAAGGCTGGATGTGAACTGAGCCTCTGGGCATGTCTAATTAACATGCCCAGCATTATCATAGCAGTGAGGTTGATCTAACAGAAGGATCCGGCAGCACTGCAAGTACGATCGTTCTCCAAGAGGCTTTACTTCGATGTCGTTCCTCCAACATAAGAACACAAGAATCGCCATTTATTGGTCCCTCTCGGGTCCCCGGTGGACACGTCTGTACTTCATCTCAATTCTGCGTGCCACCGGGGACCTCGGCTGGTGGCTCCTCCATGAAGCCTTCACTGTGGGCATGTATCTGGCATGGTTCACGGACACCACCAACACCTGCCCCTTCTGTGAGCAGAGGGAGACCCTGGCACATGCCTACCTGGAGTGCGCCAGGATGCTGCCCCTTCCCCACCTCTGCCAGCACATCTTGCTGAAATCCTGGCTTCACTTCCCTGTTTATATATGCAGTCCCCATCCACAGCCCTACCAAGTCCTGGGACCTCCTGGTCCACCTGCTCCTGGTCCTGGCTAAGCTAGCCATCCATCTCACCAGCAAGGCAGCTCTGGCTAGGAGGACCCCCCGGGACTGGGGGCTGCTTTCCTGCCCCCGGTCCAACCCTGTCTCCGGACAGCATATTACCAGGCAGTGTCCCTTGGCCCTTTGGACTCGTTCACTGTCCAGCACGCTCTGCTCAGTGTGCCCCCTTGGGCCACTTGTTTTAAGCCGACATCCTCACCCCCATCCCTGTTTCATTTTGATTTGTTCCAGGGAATCATTTGTTCCTTACCCTCCCTTCGAAGGGAGACTTAAAACATTTCTTAGTGAGCACTGACCCACGGTCCCTTAAGCAACAAAAAGGCCTGTATTACATAGGGCAGAGGGTGGATGCTGCAAGGGAGAGTGAACTGGGTCTAATCAGGGTTTTTTTTTTCCCTGTTCCTCTCCCATTTGCAGCCTCCAGCATTTAAGGCCTAGGAAGTTCTGACTCCCAGGCTCCATAACTACTGCTGCCCCTTTCCTCCAAGAATTTGTCCAATCCCTCTGTGAATCTGGTTAAACTGTCAGCTCTCACATATGGGAAAATCCAGCACAAGGGGAACAAAACATATTTGCTTGCCTAGTTGCTACACTGTCGAGACGTGTCCCCGAGTGCAGAGGCCAGTACTGAGTATGGTTGTATCCCAGGAGCTCACCTGCGATAAAGGGTTTTTGTGCACCGTGGTGCCAAGGACCTCAGCCCCGGCATGGGGAAAGTGGCAGAACGCTGTATTTGGGTACGTGTACCATACTACGCACCCCAAATAGGCAAGGGCAGGAGAGCTGGGTTTCTGCTGCCCAAGAAGGGGCTCAGACACTAATTCTGCACCCAGGGCCGTGGCTGGGAAATGCAGAGGCTGCAACCAGTGACCGGGTGGGATGCACTTCACACAGCCTGGCATCTGCCCAGAGAGAGGGCACCACGCAAGGGTGCGACAGCATCCCGTCCTGTCTGGACAGTGCACCGGTCAGTGCAATGCTCAGCACCCTGCCTGGGATTTGATTCCCAGATTTCCCTTCTGATCTGGCGTAAGCCCCTTAAGTCTCTCCTCTGTGCCTCAGTTTCCTGCCAGGGAAATGGGGGGAGCAGTACTACCCTACCTAGTGAGATGCTGTGAAAATAAATGCACTGATGACTGCAAGGCTCGGGTACTAAGACGGCAGGGACTGTGTTAGCATCAAGACGGAGCGAGAGAAAGGCTTTAAAGAGGGTGGGGGGTGGGAATCTAATAAGCTGCTTCCTCTCCCACGGTGACATGCCTCAATGCCACGGATAGACATCACATTATAAATCAGAATCTATGATTTCCAGGATAACTGACAGATTATTAACACCCTTGTGTGCTGGCAGGGGGGACTGCCTGGGAGGAAGAAGCACCGGTATGGCTTAGTTAGAAAAGACATGCAGGAGTTCAGGGCCTCTACAGGAAGCAGGGAAGCACCG